GGGAAGGGATGGGAGGGAATGGATGGGGGGGAAGGGATGGGAGGGAAGGGATGGGGGGGGAGGGATGGGGGGGAAGGGATGGGGGGGAAGGGATGGGAGGGAAGGGATGGGAGGGAAGGGATGGGAGGGAAGGGATGGGGGGAAGGGATGGGAGGGAAGGGATGGGAGGGAAGGGATGGGGGGGGAAGGGATGGGAGGGAAGGGATGGGAGGGAAGGGATGGGAGGGAAGGGATGGGGGGGAAGGGATGGGAGGGAAGGGATGGGGGGGAAGGGATGGGAGGGAAGGGATGGGGGGAAGGGATGGGAGGGAAGGGATGGGAGGGAAGGGATGGGAGGGAAGGGATGGGGGGGAAGGGATGGGAGGGAAGGGATGGGGGGAAGGGATGGGAGGGAAGGGATGGGGGGAAGGATGGGGGGGAAGGGATGGGGGGGAAGGGATGGGAGGGAAGGATGGGGGGGAAGGGATGGGGGGAAGGGATGGAGGGAAGGGATGGGAGAAGGGATGGAGGGAAGGGGATGGGGGAAGGGATGGGGGGAAGGGATGGGGGGAAGGGAGGGGGGGAAGGATGGGGGGAAGGGATGGGGTGGAAGGGATGGGGGGGAAGAAGGGATGGGGGGAAGGGATGGGGGCACACAGTCGGAGGAGTGCAGTGAGCTTGCCGAGGGCATCAGGCAGGGAGCCGTTGAGACGGTTGTCAGAGAGCGTTCTGCGAGGGGGGGAGAGAAAAGGGGGTTTGGGGGTGGGGGAAACGAAGGTGGGGGCGAGGAGGAATTGGAAAGGAGGATGAGGTTGCCGGAGTCATCAGGCAGGGTACGGTTGAGATGGTTGGCATAGAGAGTTCTGTGGTCGGGGGGAGAGGCGAGTGAGGGATTAGAGAAAGAGGGGAAAGGAGATGAGAGCGAGGGAGGATGAGCAGATAAAGGAAGACCAGGGTTTAGAAAGAAGGGGGGAATTCTGGCGGGAAGAGGGGGGTATGATGGGGGTATGATGGGGGAGACCGTGTGGGGTATGATGGGGAGACGGTGATGGGGGTTGGGTGGGGTACAAAGGGGTTTTGAGGCCCAGACAAGAAGGCTGACGGTTTATTCTGAAAAGGGGGTGTGACGAAGGAGGTCTAAAAATGGTTCTAGAGGGACAGACACTGGATGTTGCTGCTGCTCACAAGGTTTGCAGTTTGGAGAGGCCAGCAAGGGATGGAGGCATAGGGCCAGTGAGCTGGTTGTTGAAGAGGCCTCTGGAGGAGAGCGGGGAGGAGAAGAGGGAGGAGAGCAGGGATGAGAATGGGGACGAATGGAGCGAAGGGAGAATGATGAGGGAGAAGAGAACAGGGAAGGGAACAGGGGGGGGGAGAACCGGGAGGAGAACAGGAATTAGGGTGTGAAAGAGGGAGGGGAAAAAAGGGGAGCGGGGAGAGAAATTAGGAGGCGTTGACGACAAGTGAAGGTGGTTGAAATAGGTGAGGGATGACATAAAGAGGTACCATACTGCGAGCGCTGCCCTAGGAGGTTCGGAAGGGCAACATTCTTTTGAGGCGCCTCAGAAGAGCGAGCGTGACACTAAGAGGTACGGGAGGGCAGAAATGAGAGGTAATTGAACCCTAAATGCGAGGCATTGAGGTACGACGCGAGTTCACCCTCGACCCTAAACCCAGCACTCACAGGTAGGAGAGGTTGGTGAGATTCCCTATAGACTCTGGAATGGGCCCTGTGAGCTGATTGACGCCTAGATTGCTGGTGAGCGGGGAGAGAGGGGGCGGTTGGGAGGGGGAAGGGGGGGCGGGTTGGGGAGGGAATGTGGAAAAAGGGGAGGGAAGGAAGGGGGCAAGGAGGGAGGAGAGAGGGGAGGAGGGGGAGAGAGGGAGGAGGGGGAGAGAGGGGAGGAGGGGGAGAGAGGGGAGGAGGGGGGGGAAAGACGGGAAATTTGAGGGGGATTGGATTGGCAGAGAAAGAGGAGCGAGGGGAAGACGGAAACACGCTCAAAGGGGGGGGGGGTGGGAGAGTTTCCGACGGGTGTGTGCAAAGGAAAGTGGATGTCGCAATCATAGGTCGGGGGGGAGGTGGGCGTATTACAGGTGTTGGAGGAGAGAGAGATTGCCAATGACTGATGGAATGGTCCCAACGAGTTGAGAGTTGTTGAGCGACCTGCTCGTGCACGCATGAGGGCAACAGGAAGAGAGGGCGATAGTGAGCGCTGGGACAGAGTCTAGTTGAAGCGCCTCCCCTGCATCCAGTCTCGGATAGGGGCTTGAAAAAACGGCCATGTCTCAATAGCCACGCCATGACTCAACAGCCATGCTGGTACTATTTAAATGACGAAGAGTCATGGCGTGGCTATGGAGACATGGCCGTTTTTTGTGGCGTGGCTCCGGTACTACGGAGTTAACCACTGGGTGGACGAAGAGTCTACTGACGAGTACTCACTTCTGAATATCCATGCCATTGCCATCTACTAACGAGTGCTCACATCTGAATACCCATGCCATTGCCATCTACTAACGAGTGCGCACATCTGAATGACCATGCCATTGCCGCCGCAGATCAGCCCGCTGGCTTGAGAGCAGTTGGTGAAAGTGCGGGCCCCACCCTTGCCCAGTACAGCCAGCACCGCCGCTGATAAGGGGAAAGGGGCATGAGAAGCAAATGAATGTGGCCGTTAACGAGTGTGATGGTGGTGAAAGTGCGGCCCCACCCCTTGCCCAGTATAGCCAGCACCGCCGCTGATAAGGGGAAAGGGGCATGAGAAGCAAATGAATGTGGCGTTAACGAGTGTGATGGTGGTGAAAGTGCGGCCCCACCCCTTGCCAGGTATAGTCAGCACCGCCGCTGATAAGGGGGAAAGCGGCATGAGAAGCAAATGAATGTGGCCGTTAACGAGTGTGATGGTGGTGAAAGTGCGGCCCCCACCCCTTGCCGAGTATAGGTCAGCACCGCCGCTGATAAGGGGAAAGGGAATGTATGAGAAGCAGAGTGAATGTGGCGTTAACAAGTGTGATAGTGATGTGAGAGTGCGGCCGCACCCCTTGCTCAACAATAAATAGCACCGCCGCTGATAAAGAAAATACTAGGGAGAAGCAGAGTGAGTGTGGCATTAACGAGTGTGATGATGGTGACAGTGCGGCCCCGTCGCCGAGTATGGTTAGCTTAGCGCCGGCGCGGATAAAAAGAAAACAAAGGAGAAGTGGAGCGAATGTGGCATCAACGTGTGATAGTGGGTGACAGAGTGGACCGCGGCCTACGTATGCCGTGTAAAGCTACCACCGGAAATAACCCATAGGAAGTGATCAAGTGTGGAATCATCTGCTAGGAGACCCTTTTTGCTCGTTTAGGCACTGTAACAATAAGCTGCACTATCTTACGTTTCAGGAGCTGAAGAAGGTTCTCTACAGGGTATTTGTGAGAATTCTCAAAACTACCCTGCAAACTCAGGAATGAGTTCATCCTGGTTTGAATAAAACCTACTGTTCATTCTCTAAGCTCCAGGTGTTCATGGTTACCTCTGTTCATTCTCTAAGCTCTAGCTCAAGCTCAAGCTCAACTCAAACTGCCTCGCAACGCACTCAACCACCATGAGACCCTTTCTGCTCGTTTAGACACCTTAACATCAAGCTGCACCAACTCACGTCTCAGGTATTTCGGAACTTCGTATTTCCGTGTGTAATGAGTCGATTTTTGAGTCGACTCAAAAATCGACTCATTACACACAGATACCACCATCAAGCTGCACCAACATACGTTTCAGGTATTTCGGGACTTCGTATTTCGGAACGCCAACGCCCCTGGAAACATTTTTGGGATGGATTCGGTTCCGAAAGCAGTCTAGATACCTGAACAGCAAGTCGCACCCTTTCGTTTCAAAGAGTTCGGGACCTGCTGCAAGGACAAGCATAGATACCTAAGAAACGCGCTACACTACCTTGCGACGGGTGTAGCTTGGATTTCGCCCCAGATACCAACGCAGGAGCCGATTCGAATACCACTGCTAAAAGCAGGAGCCCGACGACTAATCTAAGGACCGAGATTCGCGACATTTCTTCAGTCGGACGACTAAAAGTTAACAAATTTCTTCAGTTTCGTTGAGGGGAAGCAAGGTGGGTGACAAAGAACCGCTCAGCTCGAAAGGACGATTACTATCAAGAGCAAGGCCGAGCACTAGCGCTAAACGGGTGCTTGCTGCTCTAACTGCTGCAGAGAGAATAACGAAGAAGTCCGCCCAGACCGGTGTATATGGCGCAAGACTCGTCTAAACGCACGGGAGAGCATCGAATACGGCCTACACGGTTCCACAGAGCGATAGTAGTTCGTCTGATGACGTCTATGGGCGAAAGTGAGTACTAGGCAGCACGGCGAACCTAAGTAGACGCGTCACATCACCATTATTGACAGCAGTTCCAAGACGAGGCGAACTAGGTTGATGGCGTGGCGATGATGGCTCGTCAGTGAAATAGTGCGACGTCCGAGCGGCAGGTGCAGGAAGGTCTGTGCGAGCCCGAGAAGTTCTCAAGGGTACAGCGGTGTGCAGGTGGGAAGGTGATTGGTTGGTTGGTTGGACTTCATTTCCCTCGATTTCTTCGCCCAGTTCAGCAACGAGGCAGATTCTAGGTTTCCCAGGTCAGTCCGTATGGGAGGTTTTCGCACGCCTTGGGTGGCGTGGTATGTTGGAGACTGTGAGCGAATCCTCGAGCTTGACGCGACACAGGCGAGGCGAATTCAGCAAGCGAAGCTCTCGCACGAATTCTGGCTGGCGCATTTTCCCCTTGGGATTGACGGGACAGGCGAAGCCAAGCGAGCGAACGATGTTTGCGACCGCCGCCAGGGTTGACCTACCTAGAGCAGGTGCTGAGAATTGTGCTCCTCAACCTGCGACTTCGTTGACTGTCATTCGCTAGCACCTGTGGCTTCGGTGTCGCACTGTCGCACTCATACCACTCCGTGCACGGCCTCCACTTCAGAAGGTAGTCCTCGTTACCGTAATATCCGCCTCTTGGTAACAAATCTGACATGCACATCATTACTCCACTATGAAAGTCAACTCAACCAAGCCCATGCACCTAGTACATCCACGACTCAACATGCTATGTACTGCCATACGAAACACCTGTACACCCGTCCTGAAGACTTTCAGCTACACGATCCCCAGAAAACACCGTCACACTTGCCTCCTATGCAATAGACACCTCATATCAAGCATCTACAGTCGACAATCTCAAATCAAGCCTAACACATCATCCCCAGGATCGTCCACTTGGGCGTCTGTCTCAGCATCCCTCCAACATCGGGTACTGGTTCCGTTCATCGCACACTGCCTCATAAACCGTCGCATACGCGTCCGCCAGTACCCCAGCACCAGCCCATTCGCCTGCACCCTCAGCTTGTCCCTCCCACTACATCAAGCTCAGGCAGCTCCTTTCCATCAAACCTCTAACCAATCTCCTCAGTCTAATCACGTCTCATATCCCCAGGATCGTCCGCATGTGCTCAGGTGTATGTCTCAACAACCCCCCAGCATCAGGGTACTGGTTCCTCTCATCGCACACCGCCTCATAAACCGCCGCATACGCATCCGCCAGGGCCCCCGCCACCAGCCCAGTGGCCTGCGCCCTCAGCTTCGCCACGCCCAGCGCCTCAAACTCAGGCAGTCGCCCCTCGGCCCCCGCCAGGAGAGCAAACAGCCGCTGAAGAGATTCTGCCACTGCAGAGGGGGACGCCTCTGGGAGAAGCGCAAGAGGAGGGAGCTGCGGCGGTGATTCTCCAGCCTTCTCTGCCTCCTGCTGCTGCTGCTGTTGTTGCTGGGAGGCCTGGTTGACTTGCGCTATGAGGCGGAGGATCGGCGAGAGCAGGCAGTGGTCGAGAATGGCCGCCACCTCCAGCTGCACCATGGCGGTGACGTGCTCTGAGAGGGCTGCTGCCAGCCCGTGCGAGTACGGCGAGAGCACTGGGAAAGGGGCAAGGGGCCCATGCATGGTGGCCAGACAGTTGGCCAGGAATATGTGCCGTGCCACGCTCACAGCCTGATGGGAGGAGGGATACAGGGAGAGAGGAGAGGAGTTGCATGGCAGACAGTGGCCTAAGATGGTAGCTATTTCCAGCTGCACCACAGCAGTGACTTGCTCTGAGGAGGGGCGGGGGGATAAGAGAGGGCGTGACAGCACTGGCAGGGGGGCAAGGTCCGCGTGTACAGCAGCCACCTCCAGCTGCACCATGGTGATCACATGCTCTGACAGGGCTGCTGCCAGCCCGTGCGAGTACGGGGAGAGCACTGGGAAAGGGGCGAGGGGCGCGTGATGGCGGCTACGCAGTTGGCCAGGAAGATGTGCCGCGCCACGCTCACAGACTGATCGAGGGGGGACGGCAGGAAATGGCGAAAAATAGGTGGTGGGAGGTGGGGAAGGGAGGCAGATGGCCAGGAATATGTGCCGCGCCACGCTCACAGCCTGCCATGCTCACAGCCTGCCATGCTCACAGCCTGCCGTGCTCACAGCCTGCCACGCTCACAGCCTGCCACGCTCACAGCCTGCCACACTCACAGCCTGCCACGCTCACAGCCTGCCATGCTCACAGCCTGCCATGCTCACAGCCTGCCACGCTCACAGCCTGCCATGCTCACAGCCTGCCATGCTCACAGCCTGCCACGCTCACAGCCTGCCACGCTCACAGCCTGCCACGCTCACAGCCTGCCATGCTCACAGCCTGCCATGCTCACAGCCTGCCACGCTCACAGCCTGCCACGCTCACAGCCTGATGGGGGGTTGGCGAGGTGGGAGGGAAGGCTAGGGGATGAGGGGAGGGAAAGGAGAACGAGGGAGAGACGAGTCGTTGATGCCTTCTCCCAGAAAGTTAAAACTCATTCGTACACTCAGAGAACTCACCCTTTCACCCAACTCGGAACTTCTCATAACCACAGCCCTTGAGTTAATCTATG